TGTGAACTTGGGCGCACACGCCTCAGTTTCCTCATTTGAAAATTGAGAATAGAGTTTGCTGTTGTATTGTAGATTTGTGGGGGTTTTAAATAAATTTCAAACTCCCCCCCTCACTGCTTCCCTCTGAGGTTCTGACAAGGGGACCTCTAGTAGTTAGTTTTATGTGTCAATTTGACTAGGTCATGGTGCCCAGATATTTGATCAAACATTATTCTGGATGTTTTCCTGAGAGTATATTTTGGATGACCTTAATGTGTAAATAGGTAGACTTTGAGTAAATCAGATCACCCTCTATAATGTGAGTGGGCCTTGTCCAACCAGTTGAAAGCCTTAGGAGTTGTACAAGGACTGACCTTCCCCCAAGCACAAAGATATTTCACCAGTGGGGACTGCCGTCTGTCTCAGACTCCAAGCTTCAATTGTGTGAGCCAATTCCTTAAAATAAATCTATTTCTCTTTCTTCCCCCATCTTTCCTCTCCGTACACACACACACACACACACACACACACATACACCACCCACACACACACACATGTGCACGCACACACACACACCCTATTGGTTTTGTTTTGCTGGAGAACCCTGACCAATACAGGAATTCACTCAATAATCAGCAAGTGGGAAACAACATTAATCATCTTAATGTCATTCCTTCAGGCCAGTGAGCCACCCTCCAATGGCCAACGTCAGGCTTCTGGTAAAAGCTGCATTGGACAATGTGGAATTGCCTGAGAATGAAGTTGGGCCTCATGTTTCCCCATTTTAAATCTAGACTGAGGGACCAGCACACCCAGGGGTGCCTCTAGGTGTGACCATGGAGCAGATCCCAAACGTACTCATCCAAACACCTGGGTGAGACCGGAGGCTTGCTTCTGGAAGTGGTGAGCACTTCCTGTGTGGGCATGAGCAGAGCAGTCCTGCCCATCAGATAGGCACGTGCAGCCCCTGCTGGTGAGGTTAGTCTTGCCCTCCCTGGAGAGGGGAGGCCAGGGCTGTGGGAAGCCCCTGACAGTGTTTCAGTGATCAGGTTACCAGTGCCAGAGAGGGGGGAGCCCCTTGTGCACCGACCTCCGTGCCAGATTTCACCAGGCTTTATTTTGCCTTATGTGGAAACATGATGGGGTGGGGCTGGGCAGAGGAGGGTTCTTGCTATGAAAATAAAATATGGTATAATAACGAATGGGGGCATTACCATAGGCACAGCATGTTCATGGAACAGCTCCTATGAAAACTTGATGTGAAAGTTAGCCTTCATGGTGGGTGATGTCCCCTTCCTGCACCATGCGGTCGAGTCCCTTGCTGAACCCATCTGACTTCTGTAGGTACAGAACAGCGTGACCCTCTGGTGCACTTTTTACCCTTATAGTTTGTTCCTGTCTGTGGCCTTGGGGGCCTGCTGGAGGATTAATTAAATCAGTGCTTTCATCCTTCCCTAGCTGGTGAGCTTGGGCAAGCTGACCCCTGCCCCCGCACAAAGGGGTTGTGTGAGGAGTGTGTGACAATGTATGTGTAAGCTTCTGTGTAAAATTTAAAATGTCATTATTTTAAACACACCTTCACCATCGTTTAATATATTCAGATATCACTGTAGGAAAGCCCAGCTCCCAGCACAACTGACACCCCTCCAGGTGTCTCACTGCAGCAAACTGGAAAGGGACTCTGCACATGTGACATCCTGAGGGGACAGTCCCCTGCAAGGACGCCTGCTACTGACTGTTCATGCGATTTCCCTTGCCAGCCTGGCTGCTGCTCTGGCTTTCCGGAGCCAGAATTCCAGCTGAGTTCTCATAGCAACTTCTCTAAGAGGCAGACCCTGCAGAGATGCCCGGGATGCTCTGCTTCCTGTGGGTGGTAAGAGCCAGGCTGAGCGAGCAACCACCGCCTGGTGCCATCTTGGCCCTGGGTCTCTGTTTGGTATGAATAAAGAGTAAGGGCTGGGATGAGACTAAGAGGTGGTTACACCTCCTCTTCCTGTCCCCTCATGTTGTCATGGGTGTCTGCCCTTCCACCTGATTCTCCAACAGATGGAAGGAACCATCCAATGCTACCCAGGAAGGCTCTGTTGTAAGGCTCAGGTTAGGTGACTGCAGCCAATGATCGACTGGTCTCATTGAGGGAGTTCTCTTCCCTCCACTTCCACTCCACACATGTGGCTAGAGACATTTTCTCCAGGGCGTACTTCATGAGACCTAGCTGCATTCTAGATTTTTCCTTCATTATGTCCTCTCTGTGATCCCTGTTCCAGCCTTACCCTCCTGAGCTAACCATGCCCTGAGCAGAGTCTCTGTCTCTGGATCTCCTGCCTGTGCTGGTTAATTTTATACGAGGCTCAACCTGACTGGGCCACAGGGTGCCCAGTCATTTGGTCAAGCTGTATTCTGAATGAGTTTGTAAGGGTGTTTCTGAATGAGATTAACATTTGGATTGTAGATTGAATAGAGCAGATTGCCCTCCATTGTGTGTGTGTGAGCGCGTGCATGTGGGGGTGGAACATCCAATCCACTGAAGAAGGCCCCATAGAACAACAAAATTAAGAGGGAACTCCTCACCCAGAGAATGGTGAACGCCTGTAATCCCCAAGATTTGGGAGGCTGAAGCAGGAGGATTGCAAGTTTAAGAATAGCCTGGACAACTTAGCAAGACCTATCTCAAATAAAAATTTAAAAGGGCAGGGATGTAGCAAAATGGTAGACCTCCCCCCTCCCCCCACCCCCTGGTTCAATCCTCAGTGCAAAAACAAAAAAAGTCTGCTTGACTGCCTTTGAGCTGGGATGGTTTTTTCCACCTAGGGCTTGAACTGAAACACCACTCAGCTCTTCCTGTGTCTCCAGTCTGACCACCGCAGGTCTTGGAATTTGTCAGCCTCTATAATCCTTATCCAGAGCCTTATAATCTTCCTACGTAAACTTACACACACGTGTGAATGTGCACACACACCTTATTGCTTGGTCTCTGTTAGCCTAGAAAACTCTAATATACTGTCTTTTACCTGGCTGTTGCTACACACTTATTTACCCCTCCTATTGTCCCTTACACAATGTAAAACCCCTTCTCATCCTTCAAGATCTAATTTATTTGACACATCATCCAGAGCTGTCCCTGTAGCCCTCAATCCTCTGTGCTTTCACAGCATGCCATGAAGCTTATGTGGTTAACTCCCTTTGTGTGATAGCATAGGGTCTCCATGGTATCTCTGCCACCTTGCAACCCCCTTGAGGGCAAGGGCCCTCCTCTCCACCTCCCTACTCCTTGGCTTAGAGCAATTTAAGGGATCACAACTTACTTTGAGAATTGCAATGAATTAAGCTGGAAATGAGCCAGTGGGAGACAGTTCCACGGCCCTTCCCAGGAAGATGGGATGTCAAGGTCACTCTGGGGAGATGTTCCAACCATAGGTGACAGCTGTCAGACTCTGACAATACGTAGCACAGGTTTGGGGTTTCACACGCCCACTTAAATTCTCCCTAGCATGTTCTGGAGCAGCAGTATCACAGGACATTAATAAAATCAATTATTGGATAAAAATCACTGGTTTCCAGAGCTTCATCTTGTGCTATTAGCAAGAGAATGCTGTTTCAAAAAGAGATAACAAAGAGGGAGAGAGATCAATTACCGGATAAGATCGCGGGTGCCCAAGATGAACATGCAGACTGGCGTGGCCCCTCTTACCTGCCACAGCTGCCACGTGCTTGCACCACTGTTGACTGAGCCTGTCCTGGGCCTTCCCACTCAGGTTCCCAGGTGCAGGAAGCACACCCTGCTCTGTGATGGGGTGCAGCTTTCTGTTCCCTTAAGACTCTGGCAGCATGAGACACTTGCATGACGATTTGGGTCAGTGACACATAAATGAGCGGCTCCATCTCAGTGACGATGCCAGCCCCAGGCCACCAGCCCTCCTGTACCAAGTCAGAACCCCATCAATAAGTTCTTCCTAGAGACACAGCATTCATGGTGCAGATGAACCTGAAAGGTCCCAGGTCCTTTTAGATACAGATTGTTCTCCCCAGGGGTAAAAGTAGTAACATCCCTTGGGAAATGGCATCCAAATGTAAGCATCTGTCTTGCCAGCCAGGAAGTCCAGCCCTGCTGGCTGGATAGAGAATCTCTATAGGTCGCAGAGCTGGTGAGTCAGGGGGTGGGAACCAGACATCCTGAACTCTAGTGGGAGGCAGCTTCTTATCTCCGAGGCTGGAGGGGCCCAGGAGGATGTTCTATGTCTTGGATTGCACCATTTTGGTAGTGTGCAACCCCACACAGCCCAGTCACCTACATGGAACCCTATCTTTCCTGCTCAGCCCAGAGGGTTATGGTGAGTATGATGTGAGATCATGAAAACCATCTGACACCTTCTAAAGTGGTGTGCCCACGTCCATATACAGTGAGGGTCATTACTCACTCTACCATTTTGGTGCTTCCTAAAAACAATCACAGATTCTTGGGTTGCCCAAAGAAAGGACCTGTCACGTGATGAGGACACACTGTTATAGGTGGGTCCCCTACTCTCTGTCACCACCTTTCCTGTGGCAGAGGAGGAGAGAATGGTGGTCATTGTGTACCTACTCTGTGCCAGCCATTGTGCCAGGTGTTCTCAGATTGCCCTGGAGAGATGGCCTCTGGGGTCAGGATGCTACAATGTCCCAACGCTCCCAATTGTGGGATCTTAGCCAGGTACTTACCTGTCTCAGCAGTCTCCTCTGTATGATGGGAATCTGAGCCATGTCTATCTCAGATGCAGCGAGGATGACATGAGATGAGGTGAGTCAGGGTCCCAGGACAGTGCCTGGTGTGTATCACTCACTAACTGGTGGCAGCCATTCTTGTCCTTGCTCTGGTTGTTCTTGCTGCTGGTGGGTTTATTAATATTCTGCCTCCGGCCTCACCTTTGAGCCCAGCATTGCTGAAACCACCCTCATCTCCATGGTTGGGTGCTGAGAGATAGACAGGGGGCTCGTGGAGGGCAGGGAGCCATTCTTACAGACTTTCTGTCCTTGTCACACAGCCTTCCGATGCTGACTGGGAAGACCTATGGGAGCAGTTTGATGAGCGGCGGTATCTGAATGCCAAAAAGTGGCGCGTTGGCGAAGATCCCTATAAGCTCCATGCTTTCAACCAGAGGGAGAGCGAGCGGATCTCCAGCAATCGGGCCGTTCCGGACACTCGTCATCTGAGGTGCTTCTCCTTCTCCTAGGCCACTACCCCCACCCCTCCCTGCAGTCACACCAGATCAGCAACAGGCTTGATTTGGGGGCCCACTGTGTGTACTGCCCAGTGCCACCAGCTGGGGCATTTGCTGCTGGCTGGACACTAAGGGTTCATGATGTTTGTGCAGCTATTGCCGTGAGCCACCCCTAGGCCCCCCACTTTCCACCACGAGGTTGGTGGGGTGTGCCTACCCCTATCCTAGATGACATTTGTCATGAACTCAAGGAACACTATAAGTGCTTGACTGTATATTTTTCCCTGAAAGATTCCCAGGGCCTGGCCTGCCTTTCAGAGTGGGGGACAGCAGGATGGACATACCCCATGGAAGTCAGGCTGGAGTCTCTCCTGTCACTGGGGGAGACCCTTCCTGAGATAGCTCTTGCACATTTGCCATGTGATAAGAGAAGCTAAGGGGCATCTCCACATGCCATTGGTTCTGTCCTCAGCAGAGGGGCCCATTCACCCAGCTTCCCTTTTGCCACCTCTTGATCGGGCCACCCCTTCATCAGGTGACAGTGATCAGGTGTGGCACTATGCAGAAAGCTTTGTTTCTCAACAAAAAGAGACTTTGTAGAGATGCTTGATCTCAGGAATGACCATTCCTGGTGTCATGGCATCCCTTCTGCTTCCTGAGGAGGCCTGAGCAAGCAAGCCAGGCCTAACTCCAGTCCTCCCTTCCGGGCTTCCTGGCCTCTGCCCTGGGAGTCCAGAGGTGCCATAGACCTGTGTGGACATATTTCCTCTCTGTTGCAAGTCACAGACTTCGTTCCAAACAGCAAGCTGCCCTCTGGGGATGGAGTTTAAGGCAGTGTTGACCAAGAGGCGGTAGTACTGGCATTGGATTCTTAGCTTCCTATATTTGTTTGGGTCTTTGGGTACCTACATATATAAAATTGGGATTTATGCACAGGGAAGAAAGAATTTCCATGACGTATGAAGCTAGTTACTTTGGTTGTTCGTAAATTGACACTGGGTAAAGGCTTGTGGACTCAGTTTCCTTGATGAGTTTGCACAACTCAGAAACCTTATCTCACATGGCATGTATTCATGGAGCCATGGGGCCAGTTCTTGGTAATCACCACCATTCCCAGAAGGAGCCAAAACTTGATTTCCCTGTGAATGTAGCAAGGGAGATGAACTCAATATTCTGGCTTCTTCTAACCCAGACAGTTTGCAAATTTAACTCTCCCCTCAAGGTACTATGAAACCTTCCTTAGGAGCAGCGCATGGCATCCCCTATAGCAGAATTCCCATGACGTGGGCCATACTGCTTCCATTCTGTGGGCCTGATATCAATTTAAAGTCGGAGCCCTAATTCCTCAGAACTTATCTTGCTTCTTGGCATTTGTGAGAATTTTATTTAAATATCAAGTTATTGTATTTCCCTGAGCAAAAATTACGTAGAAGAGACCAAGGAAGAGGGAGGACGCAGGAGGCTGAGAAGCCCCCTGGGTGTCATGCAAGTAGTTTGTCCCTTGTCCTAAATCCAGATACAGAGGCCCTCAGAGGGACAAAAGGAGGCCTCCTAGCCAGGAAAGCTGCTGATGCATCAGGACAAGAGCCCTTCAAGAGACACCTGAGATTGGTCCCACCTGCAGAAAGTAGGCTCCATGAATTCACCATGCAGGCAGCACCTGGGGACACTCAGAGCGGGACTGATTTCCACACTGTCACTCATCTCTGATCTGAGTGAGAAAAGGGCATTTTTGCAAGGGCTGGAGTATGCTGTGGTAGGTGATAAAGAATTGAGCCTGTTCCCAGGAGTCCAGCTCACCAGCCTTGCTCTGGGCTCTGCACCTCACCCAGCGGACACTCCATCTGTTAAGGAGCTGTATTCTGGAAATACTGCGAAGAGGGAAGAGAGGATTTGGACAGAATTTAGGCACCCTTTGGGAAGACAGAAAAGGAACATGTATCAGCCATATGTCTGCCTCAGGGCAACAACCTTGCCCTGCAGGAGCCAGGATTGTTACTTGAGAATTTGGGGTTTATAGAACTTACTCTGAGTATGCAGGAAGAAGAAGGGACAGGGGTTGAGATTCAGGGAAGTGCCTAGGACCAGCAGCTAACTTGGGGGTACCGAATACTAACTTAGCGCCAGGATAGAACTGGAGAGGCATCAATGAGATCGGCTCTCCTGGGGTCCGGTTTAGTAGAGTGCACCCCCTACTGGTGTCACCCGTAGTGATGAGAATTTCAGAGGCTGCCAGCAAAGCCTTTCTTCCCTCAGATGGGCCCTAGCTAGAGGACCTTTCTCTTCCCGCCCTTGCTACTCAGGGACACTAGCTGAGGTTGGAGTCCCTAATCCCTCCCTGATTCCAGCCTCCCTTTTGTACCCTGACTTCTTCCTGAGGCAGCACCTGAGGTTTTCCTGCCTGGGCTAATGGAGCCCTGGGGCTCATATTTGGACCCTGCCATAGCTCTGACCAACCGTGTTTCCTGGGGACCAACAGCCTGCAGATCAGGGATTCTCAATAGCAGCACTACTAACATTTTGGCTTAGATAGTACTTTGTTGTGCATGTGTCCTGTGCATTGTAGGATTTGGGCAAAATCTCTGGTCTCTACTTCCTAGCATACCCTCTCCCAAGTTGTGACAATCAGAAACACGTTCAGACATTGCCATGTGTCCCCTGGGGGACAAAACTGCAGTAAAGATAACTACTGTAAATCTGACTCTACTTTTCACCTTGATTCTCCAAAACCAAACATAAATATGTATTACCAACCCCATCACCAGCAAGATAATGGGGCAAACCTTCTCAAAGCAGAATTTACTCAGAGATTCAGGACAGGGACTCCAGGCTCAGACTGTCCTGTTTCAAGTCCAAGCTGAACGAACTTAAAGAAGTTGTCTAACATCTCTGTACCTCAATTTCCTCTTTTGACAAACAAAGATAAAATTAACAATGATGATCCTGCCTAATTTGGATTTTGTAAGGATCAAATAAAAAATATGTGGTAAAGACTAGCCTATTCCAAAGTAAATAATTCAGAAAATTTCAGCATGTTGCAACCAGACCCCAAATTAAAGAAGCACCAATATCCCAAGAACCAGGAAGAGGCATTATTAATAAGATCATTGAGTCGTTATGCATGGCAGTGGGAGCAGGGAGAACAGATGTGGGCTTCAAGGTCAGGCTCAATGCCAGAGAAATGGGAGCGAGTGGAATCAAACCCCTGCAGTGTAGAGTGTTGTTCACAAGCATTGGCCTCAGCAGTTCTCAGTCCAGGCTCCTTACAAGAGGCACTTGGGGAGCCTTTTTAAAGTGCTGATACCCAGACTCCAATCAGCTGAAGTATGTCCTTTCTAAGCTCCACAAGTGACTCTAACGAGCTTCGAGGTTGAGGACCACTGCTCTAGGTAAGTGCTTCTCAAACTTAAATAGGCAAACAAACAGATCCTCTGCAGATCTTGTTTCAGTCTGATTCAGGAGCTCTGGGTTGGGACTCTAGATTCTGCATTTATAAAAAGCTCCCAGTGATACCAAGCCACAGGTGTGTGGATCAGACTCTGAATGGTGAGGGCTTAGAACAATGGTTCTCAAAGTTGCAGAATAGCAGCATAGGTGTGGCATGGGAGCTTATTAGAATGCACATTCTTAGGTTTCACCCAGAATTCTCTGTGGATGCATCTCAGCAATCTGATTATTAGCAAGCACTACCAGTGAGCTGATTCTGAGGCTCCCTCATTAGAAACCACAGAGCATGGGCTTACCTTTGTGGCTTGCTTTTGTGGCCCACATGAAGTCCATGGGTGGAATGGTTCAGCTGAAAGGCCCAGGGTTTGAGTAGAGAGTAGAGCCCCTGATTAAGGCCACCTACCTGCCATGTGCTGCAGGTCTCTCCCTCTGTCCAGGTGATGTGGCTTCAGTCTCTCCCCTGTGGAGACTTTGACCTCTTGGGCTCCTTCTTGTTCCTCCCTCTTCTCCCATATTCTTCAGACACAGGATCCATGTCCTGCCATTCTCCTGGCATTTGGTATCACCTCTACCAAGAACCTGCTAAAGCAGGGCCACCCCTGAGCCCAGGTCCATAGGCCCACACTTGGCTTCTGGCTTCTTCATGGGACTCAATCCCATTGATACAGGCTTTGCTCACCCCGGGGCCATTTTGTGTTCCCATCATGCCTTGCAGCTAAAGTCCTCCTGAGTATGATACCCACCAGTCACCAGCTGCCCTCTAGGGTAACATGGTGAGCATCCACCACAGTGCCTGGCATGGGATAGGAATTAATTATTTTTTGAACAAATGGAAGAGTAAGATTGGAAAGATCACCGGCCACTCTCTGCCACCTGCCTTACACGTAGAGAGGAGAAGAGGGGCTCAAAGAAGCTCTCATCTCATTATCCTTTGACCCTCAGGGGCCTCATAAGAGGAATCAAGGGAGCAGACACAGAGTTAAAGGAAAAAGGCTTTTTCCCTTAAAGAGTTCTCATTACTGAAAGGGGAAGAGTGAAGGAACAGCATGTGGGAGGGGTCCGAGCTTATTAAATTTGCTTCCAATTTTCTTACCACAGTAATTGGATTCTGATTTATAGGAAGCGTTTGGACAGCGCCTGAAACAGAGAACTATTAGCCGAGCATTAGAGCAGGCGCTGCCAAGAGGGCGGGTGTGGGGCGAATTGCTTAGGAATCTGCAGGTGCCATGTGACGCGGAGGGGAGGAAGGCTGTGGAAGTTTTCACCCGACAGGCCTCTGTGATGATCGAATCGCCAAATGTATGGGCGCTGTCCTGGCATCCGGTGGCAAGAGAAGCCCAGGGGCTTCATTCTGTGCATGCAATATAACAGTTACCATTTCCCCTGTTTCTGTCGTGCATCTGCGGCAGGCAGTCTGCTTTATCCAGAGTGTGGGAGGCCTGAGGCGAGGAATGCAAGATCACACTGGGGCAGGCTTGGACTCCCCCTTCTCAAGGTGTCCAGGGCCCAGAGGATGGGTCGTGGGTGATGTGACATCCAGTATGGT